AACATCACGTTATGACCAATAGGAGCTGAGCAGAACGTGTAAAACCGCGCGGAAGTAGTCTTACATAAACATCGTTGCAACAAAAATCGTCAAAAGATTTCTGACCATGGAAAATAATTGTAAAATCACATCAATCACACTAATGAAGCATAGGATATTTCCTATTTCGATTGTTCCGTAAACATATAATAGTTCTAGACTTCAGTATACAAACAGAAATAGATTCAAAATACATCCTAGTCATTGGAGGTTATTGCCTGTCATCAATTCATCAGTTTGCGCATTAGTCAGATGAAATTCAACATGGCCTCCAAATGATCGACATGTTTGATTACGTGTATTTGAGAACTAGATTTTAGTGAATTAGAATTTTTGGAATTCCTGGAAACAGGAAAATTGTAATTTGGTATTCAAAATTTTAAGAAAATTGTTTGGTAATGTGCCTCGAGTTTATTTGATAAAAGACTCGTATCCTGTTGGTGATTAGAACTAATAATAGCATTAATAATTAAAAATGGAAGCGAAACTGTCACAAATATCCACAAATGGGGACTGTCTTGGGCCGTTACTGATGATCCTCAACACGGAACTGGAATTCTCAACAGAAGGATGGTTTTAATCTCTAGATACAACTAAAAGTTAAAGAAGAAAATACTGCAGTTAAAAATTAAAATTAAACTCAACTGAATCATAAACTCAATGCAGTCTCCCTCCAAATTGACAAAGGCCAACTGCAAGAAAAAAAAAATCAATTTACACTTCATTCTCAAGTACGAAATAAGAACTAAATGGGTAATGGTGTCGGTTCGTGCATTGAGCGGGAATCTCGTCCTACGCGAGATCTAGTTAGGAAGTCAATTTCCTATTCAGTGGCGTTTCCTCGCAGACAACGATACTGCGCTTAAGTTTCATTTTCTCGTTTTGCGGTTCCTTAAAAACGATAGTGGCGCCATTTGAGTTTTTACATAAAGTATTTAATTTATTACATTTTTTACGCCACATTTATTTTGATAAATACTTTAGTTTTGTTAACTGATGGAAATAAGCAGTAATTAGCGTATAATGCGTGTAAAGCGAGTCCTAAATCATTATTTCTTTGCTATTTGGTCTAATAGTTAGCACTGTGTAACTAACAATTCCTGAACCTTGGATCGATGAAGTCCGGTTAGGACCTCGGATTGAGAAAACAATTACTGATCTTTTTGAAGTTTTCAAAACTCTCATTATCACCAATTTTGGTATGGTATCCGCTTGGCTAAACCGCTATAGTATATATAGGATTTACAATTACAGATAGGACATATAGGACGTTATGGACCGTACTGCCTTTTTTAAGGCTTTTTTCGTAATAATAGACAAAATATAGGTATCGAATGTATTATACATTGTACAGTCTTAAAATGTTGTCTATGTATAGTTTATGCAAAATGTATTCACTTTTGACCCCCTATTTTTATTTCCAAGGACTCTTATCAACTTAGAACTTGTTTTCTAGACAGAAATGAATATGTTAATGAAGCATAAACTTAGAATTAAATACCTAAAATCTAAAATCGCAGACAATCGAGCCGATTAATGTGCAATTTTATCACAATTTAAATTGGGACCCATATTATAGATTTTCAGGTAGGGTAAAATGTTGGGTTTATAGCAAAGTAACGGCATTAAGGTAACTCCTCATTACACGGATGTGACTCATAACAAAATCTTATCTTTTTATTACTCTTTATTTTATTTTATCTATTTCTATTATTATAGAAAGCTGAAGAATTTGTTTGTTTGAAGGCGCTAATCTGCTGAACTACTGGTTCGATATGAATAATTATTGTTTGTGTCGGATAGTGCATTTATCGAGGAAAGCTAGACCATAAAACATCACGCTATGGCCAGTCAGCTGAGCAGCGAGTGCACAGCTGGTTGGTGATAATTGGATGCAACAAAGCGTGTGCGCAATCCCCTATCGTTAATTTGCAGTGTTTTTTTATGGCATACGATACTAACGTTTTATGCCAAGCTTTCCCAAAAAATTGACGGGGTGGATAAAATAGGATTACGCGCATAAAGTCGCGAGCAGAAGCTAGCTTTAGTTAAAAATCAGTTCAGCCATTATACTAACCAATTACATACACATAGAAAGTTCATCATCATCATCAACAGCCTACAAATGCCCACTGCTGAGCAAAGCCTCTTCTCACACGGAGAAGGTTAGAGCATTAATCACCACGCTTGCTCAATGCGGGTTGGCGATTTCAAACTTATTTATAAGTCCAGGTTTCCTCACGATGTTTTTCCTTCACCGTTTGTCAGTGGTGTCTAAATAATCTTAGAAAGTACATATAACTCGGAAAAAGTCACATTGGTACTTGCCGTTGGTAGGTTTCGAACCCGCACCCTCATGCATGAGAAGTGGGCGTCTTAAACCTCCGGGCCATCACGACATAGAAAGTTAGACCGTAAAATTTCATTGTAAAAGTGAGTTGGTAGGTACATAAATGTATAAAGTAGCTTAATACCGGCAATGGGCCGGAGTTAGGAAGTTCATTTCCCATTGAGAAACGCTTCCTTTGTCGTACAAGTGTTCTACAGTGTTGTTCGACTAAAGGTCACTGTGTGGTAAGTGGGTAAGTAGAGATCGTGGTATAAATGTCGTCGTAAATATTTAGTTGTAATTAATATTTATTTTTTGTTTTCAAACTTAAGACAGACTAGTGAAATAGATTTTTTTTCTTTTTCTTTTCATTTTGTATTTCTTTTGTATTATAATGTTTTGCTGACTGGAAGAGACTGGGCCTCACGACACAGGGACTCCTAGTGTGGGATCCAGAATCATACAAATATATATGTAACGTGAAGCTTTTTGTCAATAACCACATTTTTATTTTTTACTTTAATGGTCTCGTCGGTTAAGGGTACTTTTCAATTTTTTATTACATAACATCACACCTTTTATCCCTAAGGGGGTAGGCAGAGGTGCACATTATGCCATTGTACAATGTAACACCCATTTTTCACTATTTATGTTATGAGCCCCATGTAATAGGGGTTGAGCCTATTGCCATATACCGAGCACAATTCCAGACTCCGTGCTACTGCTGAGAATTTTTTAAAACCCAGTAATACTTTGCCCAACTCGGGAATCGAACCTGAGACCCCTTGCCAGGCAGTCGCACTTACGACCACGCGACCAACGAGGCAGTCGATATTTTTTATTGTGTTTTAAATACCGACATACAACCTCTTGTATGATGATGATGATATAAATGACCAGTTAAGTCCTAATATGACGTTTAACCTCTTAAACGATGCTTAAACGTGATATTAGAACTTAACTTGTCATTTTAAGAAAATAAAAACTATGAGGTAATGTTTTCACCTTGATTCTATTCATGACTAGCTTCTGCCCGCGACTTCTTACGCGCAATCCCGTTTCTCTCATTCCCGTAGGATTTCCAGGATTTAAACCTGCTCCTGACGATGACACACACACAACAAAAAAAATCAGCCAAATCGGTCTAGCTCTAGCTGTTCTCAAGTTATGGCGTGACAGCGGGAAACGATTTTCATTTTTATTTATATTTCCTCTATATCCAGTTAATCTTCACCTATAAATAATACAAACTATCAATTCTAACTTCCTTATTACTGGGACTAGACAGCACAATGGTAGAAATTGTAAACATGTATTGAAAAAATAACATTATTGTTGCAAGAATTAACATTTAATAGGCTTCATTAGTCCGCTGCAATTAGATTGCGACAGTGAAACAATGCATATTCAATTAGATTTCTATTCCTATGTATAAAAATATAAGATAGTTTGTCTAACGCTAAGCTCAATCAGCCATCAGACCACCACGGATTTAGCTCAATAGGGCTGATACCGCTACGGAGCCACAGAGGACTTAATGGGTTACCGGGGCTCCGGCTCGAAGTGCAGGAGTAGGAACGGGGTGGTTTTTATTGAGTAAGAGATTCCGTAGATTACTTAGCGCGTACAAACAAACTAACTACAGTTTTGTAAGACAGATGTTACACCTACTTTTCACCAGTGTAGCATGAAATTTCATGTAATAAGGGTGAGCCTATTACCATCTTTATAATATAAGCATAGATGTGATGCCGTATGAAATTCAATTTGAATTATGTATAATTTGAATAATAGTGGGAGCTTGGGAATCTCATGAATTATTTACCTGTTTTCTAGTAAAACGCAAATGAGATTGATGTCAAGTCATACGGAGAATTTGTTTTTGATGGGATGCGATTGAAGCAGGATGTTTAATGTTCAATCTGTTATACTTTTACTGGTCTGAAGATGACTGGCCTTACCGAAGGCCTTACCGAAGACGACTGGTCTTCGTATCTTCAGATCTTCAGATCAGTAAAAGTTAAAAGTCGAGATTGGTTGAAAATTTGAAATTGAAAGTGTATTTTTAATTTATAATTACTCTTCAACACAAATCTTACCATTTTACGGCCACCTTTTTCACACTGCTGTTTTCGGGGAAGGGTACAAACATGATTAACTATTTACTATAATACCTGTCATATCCTGACACCGGCTACCCAGTAACCAGCGGGGTTATTATGATGTCCTGAAGTCAGAATGGTTCCAATGAGGGAAAGAAACAGAGCTATACAAGTCGTCTAGTGAGATCTCGTCCCAATTGGAAAAGAGTAACCTATGGAGTTTCTTGCTCGCTTTTCTCCATAGGAATCTACACCTTGCATTGAGCAAATAGCTTCACTTTTAAATTTCTATTGCTGACGTTCATAAGTGCCTTCCTGGTCTAATTGATATAAATGATTTTGACTTTAACTTTCCCTCAACGGAACCTCTCTGGCTTTAAGACGTCATAATACGCCACCAGAACGTGTAAAAATCATTAACTCATAAAGGATTCTCGGTAATACAGGCAAAGCCGCTGGCAAACGTAAGTCCATAAAACAAACTATCATCTTAAAACCCCCATTAACATAATCTGTGTGATTTGTTACAGGATGGTGACGTCATCGAGCTCTGTCAAGTCAGTGACGTCAGATCCGGCGGAGTGCCAAAGGTAACTGTTTGAATTTGGAATTATGTTGACGACGGTTTATGATAATTTTCAACTGAATTTTGTAGTGTCATTGTTATTCAGAAGGAAAGATTTTGTGTAGTTGAACTTGACGCTTGTTCAGAGATCAAGTGGGAATATTTTGTCTATAATAAGGACATGAATATAATAGTGGCGAAGAGGTTAATCCACCTTCTATAGGCGGGAGGAACAGCACTGACTTCTCTACCACAGCACCATTTTGTTCTCAATCTATTTATTTGTGGTCCGGCGACCGAGTGCAAATGAAATGGAAAATAATAACGACAGGATGTTAATTATGGAATTTATTTAGGGCAAGGATAGAAAATTATTTATCTTAAAGATTGAGAAAGACAGTGAAAATCATAACATATACTGATAGGTATACAGATACGGCCTAACTAAAAGTAAAATAGGTTACGAAACCACCAAATAAACAGGACAACAACCGAAAGACTCCCCACAAAGAAGAACTAACAAACACAACGAAACAAACCCAAAAAACAATATTCCGTCGCCACAAAGAGAAGCTAATGTTTTTTGTTTACAAAAAGTCGCGTTACAGGGACACTAAAAACACATCCTGCTATATTTTACGGACTAAAAACACATTGTAACTTGAGCCTGAAACACATAAAACACTAGTTTCGTATTCGCAAACAATTCTTCGTAAATATTGGCTAAAGGGTCACAACATTTGACGTCAGAGACCCTGTTTTATTTGACCGAAGGCATTGTATCCCCAATGAGGTAAAACTGGGACCAAAATAACCGGTCTCCTGGGAACTCCGGGGATAAAAACGGACAGGTGATTAATTTTCCCGTGTTAGGACTTTAGGAGATACTGGATAGATGATCTGAAAATAGTGGAATGTCTTCCTGGTGGGGAATCAAATGAGGAAATTAGTTAAATTAAAATTACTTTTCTCTGAAACTTACCAGAGAATTACCTCAAATAATAATTGATGAAACAGTGGACTGCTATAAAACGATCATACGACGATATTGTTTACTATCTTTAATTGTAATTGAATAATCACTATTGTATTTTTCCCAGGATTCAAAATTAAATATGAATTTGGTGAACAAACACGGAGAAAATTTAGAAGAAAAGTCATTGACAATATGCAGTGGAACAGACTACATCAACATAAACTACCAACACGTGGTGTGTCCTGATGCAGCAACCGCCAAGGTCAGTTTGAAGTAGATCTTACTCTAAAATAAATTACAATTGTCCAAGCAAATGGACAATATTGTTCTGTTTGATTTTCCACAATTTTTGAAGCAACGAAACAAGGCCCGACTCATCATCACTGGCCTATACACTACAGCCTCACAAAGCACTACATTACTCACTTCGAGGCATCAGCGTTGCTTCCCACGAGGCAAAAGAGACACAGTTTTTCAAAAATTAATTGATATATTTCCAAAAAGGTATGGTTGCAAGGCCTGAGGCAGATCACCCACAATGTCAAAGCGAACAACGTTTGCCCGATGACTTGTCTAAAGAAGCAGTAAGTTTACATCAGCTCACCAGGCATGGCTTCAATAGACATGAGAATTTCACCGCGATTTACTAAATTATATGTTGTGGTATACGTGTTGGTATATCTTAGAACTAGCACTACTTTATTTTCGCTACCTCGTTATGATCAAACCTTCTAAAGTCCTTTTCCAATAGATTCAAAAGAGTAATTACCATTTTCGAGGCCAAATGAAAATAAAGCAATGTGGCAATACTTTGAAGCAAGTTCAGAATTCAGAATATTAAACGACTGCGCTGCATTTTAGTTAAAGCGACAAACAGCTGTCATAAAGCTTACAAGTTACACCCTAACAGTCAAAGCGCTTGAATACGGACCGTTGACTTTAAATGCGGAATCTAGTAAAATTGCGCGGATTTTACTCTAAGCGGAGTAAAATCCTCTTACTCCGCTTAGAGTAAAATCCTCTAGCTAGTACGTTGCTCAAAAGCTGTAACTACTACAATAGCATGCTACGCAACATAGCTTAGTGTAGTGTAGCGTGTTGCAAACGAAACATTTATGTCAGTTAGTGAGAGTTCATGCTGCGTTGCGGTGTTCAATGTTGCAGATCTAAGCGACGTTTTAATGATTAGAATATGAAGTTGCTTCAAAGATTTTTTGTGATTATTATTTATGTGTCGATGTGAATGACTTGTGAACTTTCCAAGGTAATTTTGTACGTACAAACAGTATCATAAATTGTCGTAGCTAAAGTAATATTTGGATAGAAACAATATTTTGGAATTAGTTCTGAAACTTTCTTGCTCTGTGTCGTCTGAATTTTGTTTAGGCTCCAAAACTAATTGTTTTCAATCTTCATTAGTGAACTGACAAAGTTTTAGTTTTACGATGTGGTTTGAACTAATAAATTCTTAAAGTTAATGAATTGTCTCTTTGAAGAAAGTTATGAAGAATGCTGTCAAATTAAACTGTCCATTAATATGATTGATGGACGCCTACTTAACTGAAGAATGGTGGTAGAAAAATCAAGTGAATTCTTTCTACGATTTCTTGGTTCTTTTCTTTAAAAACCAATTCTAAGGACTCGTAACTTTGTATCCAATTTAACTAGTTCAAAAAGTAATTTAAAATTTTCGAGAATACTTTTTAATTCCGTAGTTAAATAGAACGTTTTTGATACGAATTTAGTAGGTTAAACATAATTTAATTATTTGGATTTCTCAAAGGACTTGCTTTTAATACCAAAGTGTAGAAAATTAAAACCAAATAGTTTCTTAGAAAAAGGGTATTGATCAATGAACCTACAAAACTAGTAATTAGAGTTCAATTTGATTTGTATCAAATTCCTTGGAAATTCCACAAGTTGTTTTGCACGTTTTTTGCATGTTACCTTTCGTTCATTTGCTTTCTTTGTCTAAGGCATGGAAAGAGGCTCTCCGGGAGATTACCCACAACAACAAAATTAACAACACCTGCCCCCGGACTAACCTTATGAAACAGTACGTAGATATTTTTATTTGCTTCCTGTATGGACAACCACGTGTTAATACAAAATCGACCTTATTGCTTGTGAAGTAAAGTTCTGATCTCTTCAAACTATCTATCACGCTACAAGTACTTATATACTAGAGAAATAACTAAAACAAACAAATTAAGATCGCACTTAAAACAAATTTAAAACAAACAATAATTTAATTCAGATTCCGTTAAAAGTTACGGTTGTCAAATTAAATGACAGCTGTCAACAGCGGCCATCTTTTTTTAACACTGCCGCTAATTATATTATTTTATTTCGAACAAAATTAACATATTGTGGTTGACTGTATAGATTTTTATTTCGCTCTTTTATTTAAGTTGCGGTGTAAGTTGGTGTTTTTCGGTTAATTGTATATTAAACATTCCTTCGTACATTATGGTGTAGGTATTCTAGTTTATTAACCCACTTGTTGCTATCGTTCTTTTAAAAGGTCGATGTATAAATAAAATTATTGTGAACAATGAGAGTATTTATAACATTGTTTTTTCTATTCATCCGACGGGTCTTAAGTGTACGAAGCGGACACATGATTTATTGTTCGTGATTTAATTAGTCTTCTATTTTGTATACATTTTTGATTTCAAGGTTTTAACTATGGAGAATTCAAGGTAAGGAATGATAACTATAACAATATGTTATTTTTTCAAGAAGGCTAGAACTTAGTTATATGCTGCCTAAATTAAAGTTTAATAGCAGTGTCAGTATTTTATTGCCATTACAAATATGTATTTTATTCAGTTTTAATTGCCGTCCTTTTAAACAACCAATAGCAAAATCTGTTACTATCATCTATTATGCGTTTCAGGAATCAAAAAAAGTGGTCTCGGCATTTGACGCTTAATGAAATAGTTGAAAAGTTAGAAGAGGATGATGAAGAGGAAGTACCTGATTCCATTAACATTCTGCCTCCTGAAAACTGCAATGCTGATGTCACTGATGAGGATTCAGGTGATGAAAACCAAGTTTCTCTAGACAATTTACCCGGATCTCAGTTACGGGCGCTGGGAGAAGCCTGTTTCCAGTCAGAAAATTGTAGTGATGAGGATGATGACATACACTCATGCAGTTATCTAAACGCAGACGCGTGGTTTCTACTGAATCAGATGAACTGAGAGTTCGAGGAATAAAGGCCACTGGGACTGTTCGCGAAAATCGCACAGGTAAATGTCCTTTGCCTACCAACAAACAACTGCAGAAGACACCACGAGGGGCATTCAAACACCAGTCTACTAGGGCAGAGAAAATTTTAGTATGCAAGTGGCATGATAACAGCGTTGTGAGTGTTGATCAAATGCCTCTACGATAAGGTACTCTACGGTTACGAGCCTGTAACAAAAGTAAAAAGATTTTCACAGCAAGAAAAAAAATATGTACTTGTTGATCAGCCAGCTGTCGTTAAAAAATATAATGAAAACATGGGGGAGTCGATAGATCCGATCAAAATATAGGTCTATACAGAACGTCAATTAGGGGAAAGAAATGGTACTTCTCTTTGATTTGCCACGGATTGGACATGGCCTTACATAATTCTTGGCAACTATACAAAAACAACGGAGGTGAATATGACTTCCTTTACTTCCGCTGAAGTGTGGCAACAGCTCTTCTGGAAACGTATAAGAAAAGATCAGATCGTAAAGCAACTCGTGTCTCCCAAAATTTTCGCGAATATTCCCGATTTGATGGAAAAGATCACCTAATCAGATACAGAGACAATCAACTTCGGTGCTTTGAATGTCATAAAAAAGCCAATTTTTACTGTCCTAAATGTAATGTTACTTTGCATCCTAAGTTTTGCTTCGAAAGCTTTCATATTCCAAAATAAAACTGTGTGAAACCTATAGTCTTATTTTATTTCACCTGTGAATACCATAGCAGTACATATTGCTAGCGTTCTTTTAAAAGGACGGCATTTTCCCACTTTCCTAATTGAAGAAAATTTTTTTTTTATATTTTTTTCGTATACAATATAATATTATTAGCGTTATATGTTAAATTTATTAAGATATAATCAAACAAGTTGTTTCAGGAACAAGTGGGTTAACTTTAATAAATAGGTATGTATACTGTGTGTAATTTTAGTTAGTGTTGTAGGTATAATGTGTATTAGATTCGTAGTAAAATGTAACATTTGATTGATATTTAAGCAATTGACATAATGCTAAAACTTGGTGTAATCATTCTCTTGTCAAGTAAAACATGCATTTCCTGGAGCTGCCGACCACCTAGCGGGTTATTGGGATTCCCAGCGTTAGCTCAAAACAAAGATAAGAATGGGGTGGTTTTTAGACAACAAGAGCCCGACACTCCCTATCAATAAAAGTAAAATACACTTTTAACAGTTATAGTATGAGAGATGACGACCAAAACCATGTCTCATAGCAATACGGCAAAAACTCTATAAAATCGTTAGATTGTATGATTCTGAACCCGACTAGGTGTGTAGTAACGGTCGAAATCAAATAACCAAAATTTACCTACTAATAAAAAAGATTTTCAGACGTATTGCTATGAGACATTTTTTTGTCTCATTTTTAATTTTTTTAAGTAATTTTACGGGTTTGCGCTACACCACTAACGTCTGAAAAATATGTTTCCAGTATCTCAGACAGAACTATCATTTAACTACAGTCTGCAAATCAGACATATTGCTATGATACAGTTCGGTAAAATTCTTTGACAATTTTGAAAATTCGGTCAGAACAAAGCTACGCGGAAAATGTCTGATATTGGTATTTTCGAGTTCAGGATAATCGTATCTATATCGATTTGATGCGGTTTTGGCCGTATTGCTATGAGACAAAAATTTTGGTCGTCATCTCTCGTACTATTACATTTGATAAAATCTCAATCATAACTAATAACTAAAATCTTCGTAGGTATAAAAAACTTAGTACGTTCAGACTTCAGACTCTAGTCTCCGAATTGATATTAAATTGGCTTGAAGTCGAGCCTCGCCGACATGACATGTGAGAGATATTAATTTTTCAACTCGGAACGTCATGCAATATCCTGCAGTCTGACTTTCATAAAGTTAATTTAAGTTGCTAAAGTGATTTCAGTGTATTTGATATAGTTTTTGAACTTCCTTGATGCAATTTTGATTTAAAGTTTAAAATTTTAATCATCATGTGTCGGAATACTGAAAAGCTACTCAATTTTAAGTGGTGCTTAAGTATAGTTCTATCTCTACAAATTCTTTGTAAAATGACAGAGATGGCACGATATTTGAGCACGACTTAAAATTGAGTAACGTTTCAGTATTCCGGCAATAGTAGGGTAGATGACTAATTTTTATTTTAAAGTCCGCCTGGTAGATCATTTAAAAACATTAGACACGTATTTCTTATTTTCTTCCGGATACGACTATATATACGACACTATACGACAATATATTGATTTGAAATATTACATGACGTCACTTTTGTGTACCTACGTTTTATACCTACTCAAAAATGACGTAGCTACTTCCCACTCCTAAACTTTGATTTGTTTTATCTAAGTATTGTTTCCTTATGAAAATAAAAAAATACATGCCTAATATTTTTTCATTACCTAACTGACGGACTAATTACATTTTTAATTTTCATACCCTGTCATCATCCCTATTATAATTAGCAACAAGATATCCACTGCTAATCAAAGGCCTTCATTAATGATTTCTAGATCGCCTGTTTGAAAGCGACTTGCATATGCAGATAATTATTGGCTGAAATTGCTTTGTTGATTGGTCAAAGCATTTTCCAATCCCATCTGCTTTAGTTTTTTCGAAATTTAACATAAAGAAGTCTGTACAGTCGGTTTATTTTCCTAGAACAATATAGCTAACAGTAATTGGGTAGAAAATCTCATTGGGGGAATAGCATGCATGATTTATTATTTGCTTTTAACAAAATTAATATGTTAAAAATAATTCAACTAACCTCCTTTTATTAAAGTTGAAAGTCGATGAATTTTTGAATGAAAAAAAATATTGCAATACTTAGGCCCGTATTAATAAACCGATATCAGCGTAAGAGTGAGATGTTAAGATCCTGTTTGATATTCCGACATATTAATAAACAAAACCTAATACGCGGTTTAAGACCTTGTCATCACCTGAGATCGTATTGTTTAATAAACATTACTCGGGTTTCAAGATCGGTATTAGGACGGTTATCAAGACCACGATTGTTAAGTTCAGTCGACCCTGGACTTAATATCGTGAACTCGTACCTAAGTATTTCGCGGGAACCATGAATATTGAGAATATTATTTCCGAAATCAATTATTATGATGAAGTCGACTAATACGATGATATTTTATGGCCTTTTCAAAATATATAAAGTACCTACCTAAAGTTTATATAAGGGACGCGACAAATTCCTTCGAATTACCTACGCAAAACGGTTTCGATTTAATCAAGAATCAGTGCTGTTGATATCGTATCGTTGATAAGTAATAATTTGGTAAAAAGTGAATTTTTAAAAACCCAGCAGTACTTTGCCCGACCCGGGAATCGAACCCAGACCCCTTGCCCGGCAGTCGCACTTGCGACCACTCGGCCAACGAGGCAGTCGATTAATAAGTAACATGTAAATAAACACGAAACACTGTTACATGATTGTATTATCAAGTACCTAATAAACAATTGAGAGAAAGAGACAGATATAATAATGAGGTGACGCGCCATCCCTGGTAGGTATGTGCTTTTGTCACAAAATTAAATGTAACTTTATAATAAATAGTGCTTTTTTATGGTCAAACAAATCATAATGTATACAATATAAAAAAGTAATATAGTTTCCTAAAACTTCAATCAATTTAAACTGGAAAAAAACTTTTATTCCTATGCATACAGAGTTAAATATTATCGTTCTACAAAGCTATTACTAAACGGAATGAACGAAATATGTAATAGTTCGTTCGCTGTGACGTAACAAGTCTTAACATCATGATTTCATTGAGTGTCAAATTACGAATCTT